TGAGCCTCATTTTGACTTGTTTTAAGGACATTACATCAAAGTTGGATCAGCCTGTAGTGTGGTTTTCCACTTTAATTTTGAGTGTGACTCCAAATCCAGACCTCCATGGGTTGATAAATTTGATTTCCATTGATAATTTTTGTGTGATTTTGTTGTTAGCACATTCAACTATGTAAAGAAAAAAGTATTTAATAAGATTATTTCATTCATTCAGATCTAGGATGTGTTATTTTAGTGTTCCCTTAATTTTTTTGAGCAGTGTATAACACCAGAATTGGATGACCTTCCCTTAGATATAAATCAACACAAAAACACTATAAATCTGGAGAAAAAGTGACTTTGCCAAATATGAGAGGTCTATCTCTAAAACTGCGTTGGAAACACTTTTGACATATGTATTAATCATAACAGATAATGGCAATGCACCATTCTACACATATCTACGAGTGATATAAATGCTGTGACAATACATCTTGATTTGGCCTATAGTGGTGACAGACTGTACTGTCAAACAAAGCTGAGAGAGAGTGAAAGACTACTGGAGATGTAGCTTCATCCAACTCACTGCAGTTAGCCAGTAAAATATTCTAGGTTATGTTTTGCTGGCATTGTTTCAAAGCTTTTATGCTCTCTATTACCCTGATTTGAAGTTTAACGACACTGAGTCCATCGTGATATGGAATAAGGGTTTATTAGACACATACAGTGCATTCGGGAAGTATTCAGACCCCTTGACTTTTCCCAAAGTTTGTTACGTTACAGCCTTATTCTAAAATGGATTAAAACGTCAATCTACACACAATACCCCCATAAAGACAAAACAAAAACAGGTTTTTAGAAATGTTTGCAAATGTAATAAAAATAAACAACTAAAATATCACATTTACATAAGTATTCAGACCATTTACTCAGTACTTTGTTGAAGCACCTTTGGCAGCGATTACAGCCTCCAGTCTTCTTGGGTATGACTCTACAAGTTTGGCGCACCTGTACCCGAAGCCACTCCTGCGTTGTCTTGGCTGTGTGCTTAGGGTCGTTGTCCTGTTGGAAGGTGAACCTTCGCCCCAGTCTGAGGTCCTGAGTGCTCTGGAGCATGTTTTCATCAAGGATCTTTCTGTACTTTGCTCTGTTCATCTTTCCCTCGATTCTGACTAGTCTCCCATTCCCTGCCGCTGAAAAACATCCCCACAACATGATGCTTCACCGTAGGGATGGTGCCAGGTTTCCTCCAGACGTGACGCTTGGCATTGAGGCCAAAGAGTTCAATCTTGGTTTCATCAGACCAGAGAATCTTGTTTCCCATGGCCTGAGAGTCTTTATGTGCCTATTGGCAAACTCCAAGTGGGCTGTCATGTGCCTTTTACTGAGGAGTGGCTTCCATCTGGCCACTCTACCATAAAGGCCTGATTGGTGGAGAGCTGCAGAGATGGTTGTCCTTCTGGAAGATACTTCCATGTCCACAGAGGAACTCTGGAGCTCTGTCAGAGTGACCATCGGGTTCTTGGTCACCTCCCTGACCAAGGCCCTTCTCCCCCAATTGCTCAGTTTGGCCGGCAGGCCAGCTCTAGGAAGAGTTTTGGTGGTTCCAAACGTCTTCCATTTAAGAATGATGGAGGCCACTGTGTTCTTGGGGACCTTAAATGCTGCAGACATTTTTGGGTACCCTTCCCCAGATCTGTGCCTGGACACAATCCTGTCTTGGAGCTCTACAGACAATTACTTCAACCTCATGACTTGGTTTTTGCTCTGACATGCACTCTCAACTGTGGGACCTTATATAGACAGGTGTGTGCCTTTCCAAGTCATGTCCAATCAATTGAATTGACCACAGTTGAAACATCTCAAGGATGATCAATGGCAACAGGATGCACCTGAACTCAATTTTGAGTCTCATAGCAAAGGGTCTGAATACTTATGTAAATAAGGTATTTATTTTTTGTGCCTGGAGCAGAGAGAGTAGGGTAGAAACTCATCAAGACAAACCCTACTTAGTATGCTATGCTTTCTCTGATTGTTATGCCAGTGTGAAAGAGATTGCAAACACAGGGGGGAAATGCACATGATGTAAGATGACCTGAAAGAGTTCTTACAGACAGTGTGATTGATAAGTGAAACTCACAGGCATCTTGAAGCCGAAGTAGGCTAGGCGCCTACGAAGGTGAGGGGCACGGAGGTGCCAAACCACAAAGCCAAGATGGCCACCAGCGTGCCAAAGTGGATGGCTGCCAAGAAGCCCTCCACCCACAGGATCAGGTTAATCAGGAAGTCTGCAAACGAGGGAGGGAGAGAAAAGGGGGGGGAGGGCAGTGAATATCTCACTGGAAAAAGGGGCAACAACATCACCCCCATAATTTCCATAAGTCTAAAGACATGTTTCAATATTTTTTCAGTCAAGCATGTTGCCATGATGTGTAGAAGCTGTTATTGACAAAAGGGAATATTAATTATAAATACATAGAAAACGTTGTTGTTCCATGTACAATAGATTGAGAAGGAGTATTCATTTGAAAAGTGGTAGTGGATTGCATATGGATTTTAGTCATCCTAGCGAATAATTAAAATTAAATGTAGTCCACTCCCGATCAGCTAAACGTTCACATTTGCAAAATAAGGACATACAACCAACACAACACTTACTGTTCTTGTTACAAATGCATGACTATTGTCTCATTGTTTGAAGAAGTGTACTTACTGTGATCAATATGTGGTTGACCCACTGGCTATCCTAAGTTGAATGCACCAATTTGTAAGTCACTCTGGATAAGAGCGTCTGCTAAATGACTTAAATGTAAATGTCTCAAGTTAATCAGGACAGCCCTGATCAACAGTCACAAAGTGCTTTACAGATACCCAGCCTAAAACCCCAAAGAGCAAGCAATGCAGAGGCAGAAGCACAGTGACTACCTGGGCTAAACTTGATCAGCAGAAGTCTGGGACAAGGTAGAACGCCCAGTGAAGTCAGTCCAGGGGTCCACAGCTGCAGTCTGAATGGCAGCACAACCAGGGGCTCAGGTCCTCCGGGAGGGGAGACATAGAGAGAAGGGGGGAAGGGGGTGTTAGTGGGAGCATGCCCAAGATCAGTGCCTAACATCAGTGTTACACTAGTGTATACACCCTTATGTTATAATAGGGAAATTGTGTTTCCATAGCTAGGGCTGACAGTGAGGATTTGTGAAGAGCAGAATCAACAACCTCTGCATAATCAAACAGATGGTTTGGGAGAAGGTGTTACAGTTCACTGTTAGCCATTGTTATGTAAATGAAAGTGGCCTGGCTTTGGCCCCAAGTGAGAGCAGGTCCGTCGGAGCCATGGTCCAGTGAGACACGGGTGCCGGTCTGTGTAGACGGAAACAGAAAAGTCTGAATATTTTGGGTAAAACACTGAGGAAATGCACAAGTGCTGATCTAGGGTCAGGTCCCACCATTCAATTGAACTTATTTAATTATGATCTAAAAGTAAAAACTATTCTAAAACACTTTGTGAATATGGGTCCAGATAAGACAAGTTGACCATAGCCACCCGGCACATAAACTATTGTAGAATAATTACTGGGGACTGAAAATCAAATGTTATTTGTCATATGCGCCGAATACAACAGGTATTACAGTGAAATGCTTACTTACAAGCACTTAACCAACAATGCAACTGTAAGAAAGAATACCAACAACTTTTGTTTTTAAGAAATAGCAAAAAATAACTACATTAAATCAAAACAAATACTAAAAATATATTTTAAAAAATGTCACCCCTGGACAGTGTCTGTGTGGCTAGCAGAGGTGTGCTTAGCAGATCTGAAAGAGAGGCACAACATCATTTGAATGAGAATTCAGTCCACTTGACAATAACACAGAATTCAGTATTCTTCATTCTGATGATTTGTCCAACTTGAGACATATAGAAATACAGTATATATTAAAACATATTATGCAATGTAACACAGATACAGATTATGTGCATGTGGTGGTTTCAAATAATAATGTTACTACAGATAGCTAGCTCTATCCATGCTTTTCCTGAAAATGTCTATCTGATGTTATAGCTAGCTAGTTGATGTTGTTCTAGCTAACACACCCAAAGTGGTATTTTCTCCTCCTCGATGGTCTGCAGATGCATGACTACATGATCATGATGTTGTGGCTGTAACAATTAACAGACACTAGAACAACAACAACTAGCTAGCTATATCAGATATACGTTTTTTTTTAGGAAGAGCAGCTCATATAACAAGCAAATAAAATGAATATCATTACATTGGTTCGACATCTAGCTAGCTAATCAAGACATAAAAAAGGTGAGATCTATCAGATTCTCTTTGTAGCAGTTAGCTCTCATCTTGTCTGGGCACTGTCGTGTTTTTCTTTGCTGCTTGCTTGCAGAGCAGCTGTTACAGCACATAATTTTTTTTTACAACTACAAAACTTTTGGCAGAGTTTAGATGCTAAATTAGTGATAACTCAGTGCAAGCAGATTCGAAATAGGCAAACGTATTTTGATTCACAGAAGATTCCCCAGTTGTAAGTTTAGTAAAGTAGTTGCATTCATTCGCAAATGAAGTTGCGTGCTTGCAAGTGTTGTATTTATTCACACATCACTTACGTGCTTGTAAGTGTTGTGTGCAACTACAAAACTGATAATACAGGTGCAACTCATACTTTACATGCATGTACACTTATGTCTCTATTTTACGTTCGTACACAGGGGCCACTGTGAACCCCACTGCCTGCATTGCTCGAGCGCTCCCCGGCGTCAGCCATCTTGCCTCTCCCTGCCTGCCGGTTTCCACTAGATAACGCAGCCACAAAGTAAAAATGGGCTATATCGTAAAATATTAATGAAAACAAAAATTAGCTTTTTGTTTTTAATTTATGGATAGGGTTAGGCATAATGTTAGCAGTGTGGTTAAGGTTAGGTTTAACATCTGATTTTATAATGAGAAATTGTAGAAACAGGCGGAGATTATGACTTTGTGGCTGTGCTAACTAGTGACGACCCTGCCTGCCCGAGATTGAGTGCGGAAGTAGAAACTGTACTGTGCGGGTTCTGGATTCCGTACGCCTGTGGACGGTTTACAAGATCCTCCACCCGACACAGACAGCAATCGATTCAAAACAAACATTTGTGATTACCAGAAGTACACGAGATGGCAGGACGATTACCGGCGTGTGTTGTCGACTGTGGTACAGGGTAAGCTATTCAAACTAGACCGCCGTACAGACAGAGCATCGATATTTTGGGTGTCACCGACAGAGCCCATCGCTGTCAGCAACTGGGTGTTCGTGCTAGCTAGCTTGTTAAATATAATCAATGTAACCTTTCATGCCCATTCATTGCGAAACTAACGTGTTTTAATTGTTTTGTTAGGTCGTTATTGCACTGCTGTTTCATAATAATTGACTAAAACATGCATTTTTGCTGTGTTGGCTAACGTTAGCTAGATGGCTATAACTAAGCCTGCTATTTGCTTGACATCAGAATGTTCTTCTGTCGTTAAGGCTTTTTCAATACAAAAAATTTGACTAACTCATTGCAGGGGTTCTAATATAACTGTGTTACATTTCTGACTTACTTTGAGTGGACAGTATAAATGGGCTTTGCATGTTTATTGTAATGTATACGTTTGTAATGGTAACTACTAGCTATGCCGTTCATAAGTAATTTTACAGTGCTCACTTCTAGTCATCCCTGACTTTGAGCACGCGCAGAGCCACTTCCTATATTGTCGACTTCCTCATTCACGCTTTTTAGTCCATATATGGTCGTTTTCGGCATCTGAACATGTTTTTTTGATTAGCAAACTTCTCTAATTTCTTCACTTTAGCCGTTGTCTGATCCTAAACTATCTCAAATGAAACTACACATTAATAATTTTTCAGAATAACAAAGACTGATTCGATTCCATAGATAAGCACGGGGATTTTCACATTGGATTGATTTGCATTGATTGTGCATACTTCTGATTTATGCCCATCCTTTTTTTATGATCTGTAAATATTTTTGGATGCCAATATATTGATTGCACGTCCCAATATCTATTCAAAGCCAGTGAATTAAAAACAGTTGGGCCTAGGCTAATCTGTCATTATTGAACTGTGCAATACACAACAACATTCTAGTTAACTTGTTTTAGCAAATCATCACTTTGGTGAATCTTATTCAGTAACACAATAATGTTTTTGTGCATTCCTCAGTCTTTGAATAATTATTGCTAGTGCAATTCTCTGTATCTGTTACTTTTATTCATTGATAGGCCTACTTATTGTCTATCAATGTATATGATTTAATCTGAGGAGCAATATCTAATGTGTGCATTTGGAATAGCCTTGACCTAGACGTAGATTATTTGAAATGACAGGGATTTAGGTTTAAGACTATAGTTGGGGTTATTGCCTAACTAAGATGCAGCTGTGCTGCAGCGTTTGCATGTAAAGACTTGAACTCGTCACTCCGTATGTTGCCCTGCATACCTCTCCACTTAGCTTCCCCCCTCTCTTTGGGCTATTAGTTAGGCTAGTGCATCTGGTCCTCGCTGGGGAAGAGGACAGGAAACTACAGCTGAGGATGGAGAATGAGGCTAACTCCTTTGTGGAGCAGATGTTTGAAAATGCTGAGAAGGCCAAGATGCTGAAGTACGAGACCAGCAGAAGTTGAGTCAAGTACACCACCACACAGCTCATGAGTCACACTCAGACAGCCAAAATGTGTGAACTGAACTCAACATCCGTTTACCTCAAGCACAAGTGGGACGCTATTCTTAGAACTCAACAGTGAAATGGAACAGCAGAGTTATCGTAGGGCTAGTTTGTCCACTCCTTTTTAACAGTTGTGTTCGGAGTGATGTGAAACCTAATTAACTAATTTCTACCAGCATGTTAAATGTACAACCAGAGGGGAAAAAAAACTCTAGACCACCTTTACGCCACCCAAGAGACACGTACAAAGCTCTCCCTCGCACCCATAATTCTATCCTCCTGATTCCTGCTTACAAGCAAAAACTAAAGCAGGAATCACCAGTGACTTGGTCAATAAAGAAGTGGTCACATGACGCAGATGCTAAGCTACAAGACTGTTTTGCTAGCACAGACTTGAATATGTTCCGGGTTTCTTCCGATGGCATTGAGGAGTACACCAGATCAGTCACTGGCTTCATCAATAAGTGCATTGATGACGTCGTCCCCACAGTGACCATACGTACATACCCCAACCAGAAGCCTTGGATTACAGGCAACATCTGCACTGAGCTAAAGGGTAGAGCGGCCGCTTTCAAGGAGCGGGACTCTAACCCAGACGCTTATAAGAAATCCCGCTATGCCCTCCAACGAACCATCAAACAGGCAAAGAGTCAATACAGGACAAAGATTGAATCGTACTACACCGGCTCTGACGCTCGTTGGATGTGGCAGGGCTTGCAAACTATTACAGACTACAAAGGGAAGCACAGCCACGAGGTGCCAAGTGACACGATCCTACCAAACGAGCTAAATTACTTCTATGCTCGCTCCGAGGCAAGCAACACTGAAGCATGCATGAGAGTATCAGCTGTTCCGGACGACTGTGTGATCACACACTCCATAACCGATGTGAGTAAGACCTTTAAACAGGTCAACATTCACAAGGCCGGATTACCGGAACGCGTACTCCGAGCATGCACTGACCAACTGGCAAGTGTCTTCACTGACATTTTCAACCTGTCCCTGACTGAGTCTGTAATACCAACATGTTTCAAGCAGACCACCGTAGTCCCTGTGCCCAAGAACACCAAGGTAACATGCCTAAATGACTACCGACCCGTAGCACTCACGTCTGTAGCCATGAAGTGCTTTGAAAGGCTGGTCATGGCTCACATCAACCCAAGACCCACTATACCGCCCCAACAGATCCACAGATGATGCAATCTCTATTGCACTCCACACTGCCCTTTCCCACCTGGACAAAAGGAACACCTACGTGAGAATGCTATTCATTGACTACAGCTCAGCGTTCAACACCATAGTGCCCTCAAAGCTCATCACTAAGCTAAGGATCCTGGGACTAAACATCTCCCTCTGCAACTGGATCCTGGACTTCCTGATGGGCCGCCCACAGGTGGTAAGGGTAGGTAATAACACATCTGCCACGCTGACCCTCAACACGGGGGCCCCTCAGGGGAGCGTGCTCAGTGCACTCCTGTACTCCCTGTTCACCCATGACTGCATGGCCAGGCACGACTCCAACCCCATCATTAAGTTTGCCGACGACACAACAGTGGTAGGCCTGATCACCCACAACGATGAGACAGGCTATAGGGAGGAGGTCAGAGACCTGGCCGTGTGGTGCCAGGATAACAACCTCTTCCTCAATGTGATCAAGACAAAGGAGATGATTGTGGACTACAGGAAAAGGAGGACCGAGCACGCCCCCATTCTCATCGACGGGGCTGTAGTGGATTAGGTTGAGAGCTTCAAGTTCCTTGGAGTCCACATCACCAACAAACTATCATGGTCCAAACACACCAAGACATTCGTGAAGAGGGCACGACAAAGCCTATTCCCCCTCAGGAGACTGAAAATATTTGGCATGGGTCCTCAGATCCTCAAAACATTCTACAGCTGCACCATCGAGAGCATCCTGACTGGTTGCATCACTGCCTGGTATGGCAACTGCTTGGCCTCCGACCGCAAGGCACTACAGAGGGTAGTGTGTATGGCCCAGTACATCACTGGGGCCAAGCTTCCTGGCATCTAGTACATCTATACCAGGCGGTGTCAGAGGAAGGCCCTAAAAATTGTCAGGCTCTCTGCTACCGCACGGCAAGCGGTACCGGAGCGCCAAGTCTAGGTCCAAAAGCCTTCTTAACAGCTTCTACCCCCAAGTCATAAGAATCCTGAACAGCTAATCAAATGGCTTCCTGGACTATTTGCATTGCTATGCTGTAATAAAGGCTTTACAATAGTTTTTTGTTAGACCAGACTGGTATTACTTAATTAATTTAGTGTTGTTTTCACTGTTCCAAACAGGCAGAAAAATAATATTATAATCTAACAGCATCTGCACGCAGCTCTCGCTCCTAGAACGTCCTTTTTCTTGATCTCCTTCTTATTGTTCTTATTACAATTATTATTATGATCATCATTATAATAATATGTAATGTCGTTATCATTAGTAGGCTTTGTATAGTAGCCTTGTATAACCACCATTGAGCTGTAGGCCTAAGAGCGCATCCTGTTTAGTCTTAATACCGTAAGTTACTTAGGCCTATATTTCAATATATAGGCTACTGTATCAATCATTCATTTGTTCATGCCATCACACATCACATTCATGCTTTGAAATGCAATCAAGCATTTTTGTTTTAAAATTAAATAACGAAGGGAACTTTTGAATAAATAAACCGCAATTCACGAATGCATACAACTGTTTTAAGTATGCTGTATTAAAGGCTTTATATTTTTAGTTTTTTCGTTAGAACAGAGTCTCTGGTACACTTATTTATTTAGTGTTTACACTGTTCCAAATGGTCAGAAAAAAGAAAAATATTGTAATCTAACAGCAACTGCTTGGCACACATAATACTCACGCAAGGCTTGCTCCTATACCCTCCTTTTTATTGATCTCCAGTAGTTCCCACAACTAAGTTAAATGTCTTCCGCAGATGACTTCCCCTTTCCCTCCTGAGTAACCAGGAAACATTTGACCATTTCGAGTTAATTTTTTACGTCCGCCGCATCCATTTTGCTGTCAGATAACCAATTTATTGATGTGATTATGATAGGCTATAGGTCAAGCCCTATTGGTCACATGCATGCTCTGCTTACATGTTTTACGTAAAGAGAGCAAGGGTTGAGGGAATAGGCTATGTTTTTCCAAAACAAATTAGGGATTTCGTTAACGGAACTTTTCAGTCAGAAACAAGTAAGAAACTAAATGGCTTAAATGATGTTGCAGCATCAGCACTGACAGCGCAATAAACACTTGCTGTGCTGTGCTGCCTTTGCGCTACAGTAGGGAGGAGAGCGAGACAACGTGTGCCAGTCATACAGGCACTCGCTGTCATTTTTTTAAACATAATGTGAACATCGGGCTCTTTCTTGAGTCATTTGTGTGTTTTTATTATTTAATCAAACAGTGTGCTTAAAGCATCAAACAAGCTCAGTACGTACAGTGAGGGAAAAAGGTATTTGATCCCCTGCTGATTTTGTACGTTTGCCCACTAACAAAGAAATGATCAGTCTATAATTTTAATGGTAGGTTTATTTGAACAGTGAGAGACAGAATAACAACAACAAAATCCAGAAAAACGCATGTCAAAAATCTTATAAATTGATTTGCATTTTAATGAGGGAAATAAGTATTTGACCCCCTCTCAATCAGAAAGTTTTCTGGCTCCCAGGTGTCTTTTATACAGGTAACGAGCTGAGATTAGGAGCACACTCTTAAAGGGAATGCTCCTAATCTCACCTTGTTATCTGTATAAAAGACACCTGTCCACAGAAGCAATCAATCAATCAGATTGGAAACTCTCCACCATGACCAAGACTAAAGAGCTCTCCAAGGATGTCAGGGACAAGATTGTAGACCTACACAAGGCTGGAATGGGCTACAAGACCATCGCCAAGCAGCTTGGTGAGAAGATGACAACAGTTGGTGCGATTATTCGCAAATGGAAGAAACACAAAAGACCTGTCAATGCCCCTCGGCCTGGGGCTCCATGCAAGATCTCACCTCGTGGAGTTGCAATGATCATGAGAACGGTGAGGAATCAGCCCAGAACTACACAGGAGGATCTTGTCAATGATCTCATGGCAGCTGGGACCATAGTCACCAAGAAAACAATTGGTAACACACTACGCCGTGAAGGACTGAAATCCTGCAGCGCCCGCAAGGTCCCCCTGCTCAAGAAAGCACATATACAGGGCCGTCTGAAGTTTGCCACTGAACATCTGAATGATTCAGAGGAGAACTAGGTGAAAGTGTTGTGGTCAGATGAGACCAAAATGGAGCTCTTTGGCATCAACTCAACTCGCCGTGTTTGGAGGAGGAGGAATGCTGCCTATGACCCCAAGAACACCATCCCCACCGTCAAACATGGAGATGGAAACATTATGCTTTGGGGGTGTTTTTCTGCTAAGGGGACAGGACTACTTCACCGCATCAAAGGGACGATGGACGGGGCCATGTACCGTCAAATCTTGGGTGAGAACCTAAGATTATTAGATTAGTATTCCAGCATGACAATGACCCAAAACACACGGCCAAGGCAACAAAGGAGTGGCTCAAGAAGAAGCACATTAAGGTCCTGGAGTGGCCTAGCCAGTCTCCAGACCTTAAACCCATAGAAAATCTGTGGAGGGAGCTGAAGGTTCGAGTTGCCAAACGTCAGCCTCGAAACCTTAATGACTTGGAGAAGATCTGCAAAGAGGAGTGGGACAAAATCCCTCCTGAGATGTGTGCAAACCTGGTGGCCAACTACAAGAAACGTCTGACCTCTGTGATTGCCAACAAGGGTTTTGCCACCAAGTACTAAGTCATGTTTTGCAGAGGTGTCAAATACTTATTTCCCTCATTAAAATGCAAATCAATTTATAACATTTCTGACATGCGTTTTTCTGGATGTTTTTGTTGTTATTCTGACTCGCACTGTTCAAATAAATCTACCATTAAAATTATAGACTGATCATGTCTTTGTCAGTGGGCAAACGTACAAAATCAGCAGGGGATCAAATACTTTTTTTCCTCACTGTATGTAGTTGATTTTATTCATACACATAGGGTGTGTCTGTCTATATATGAAAAATTAAGTTTAAACATTTCGACCAATCGATTGGTCGAAAGAACAGTACGACTGTCGGTCGACCAATATAATTTTTTTGTCGGGTACAGCCCTACTATATCCTTAGCTAGTATGTGTATCAACTACGATATATCCTTATTTTTGGGTCATGCACTTTAGAGACTGCTACTGCCTCCTCCTAAGTACATGAACTGAAAGACTGCACTGTTATGACTAGGAGTTACTAGCCTACTGTAGTCTTTGATGCCCACAGTGCTTTGGCACTCTTCAACAGTGTCATCTATCAGTCCCACGGGCCCTGTCCAGGAAACGATGGGAGAACAGAGCCACAGCCGCCCACATCTGGCTAGCATGTGCCTATCAAAATGCCACTACACAAAGGATTATAGAAAGGCCCATGACATTTACTAGTATTTAAGTCTTTGATGTAGTATTTAAGCTAGGTTATGCTCCAAGGGTTATGTCTATACGTGAGAAATTGTTTTGACCACAAGAAAAGACCATTAGATAGGTTTCCAGGTATGTGTGGAAAGTCTGTGCCATGCTAGCCTAATTGCCCACCCCAAGTTTTCACAGAGATTTCTGCCGACTTCCAACTTTCAAAGACTAATATCCCCATTTTTAATGATTTTGAAAGTTTCTGTCATTGTTTGGGCTGAGCACTCTAGGCTTCATTATCGCTCTGCGGAAGGCTTTAGCCTACTGCAAGTGAACTTCAAATGCAACACTGCTGGCACTCAGACCAGTTGTAGGATGATGCTATGCTAAGATTTATACATGTGTTGGATTTTGGGAAATGTATGAATAGCCCCTTAGATTCCAAATGCCCTTTTACACTCTTCCTATTGAAGGGTAGGCTATTCAGAGTCGAGCTACAGTTGTTGGCTCTGATCCATGGAAGAACAGGGGTTGTATTGATCAAAATCACAGAAGCTAACCAAAATATAGTCTAGGCATCTTTACAAACTGGCACCAATACAAAATAAATGTGCACAGAGAGCATGTCTTAAGTCTACCATGGCTGTTAAATCTAATGGTGTACCTACCTTCTCTCTTCCAGATACACTAAGCTGGGGTATGCAGGGAACACAGAGCCACAGTTCATTGTTCCATCATGTGAGTATATCTGTCCAGACGATGCGCCTCATAAAGGGTAGGCCTACCTGTTGATTTTTTTAAATGTTGTGCTGCCTAGACCAAAGTCAATATAAAGGTGGTCAAGCAGAGAGCTAACATGGTTTCAAAGAGGAACCCTTTGGGGCCATGCTTTGGGAATACAAGGCAGGATAGTGAACAGTGAGGGCATAGTTCACTCTTGCACTTGGTGTTTGACTGAATTAGTGTCTTATTTAGAGAACACACGGTATCCCTAACAAAGATCTTTCATCAAACACAGCCTTAGTCTAATCGATTCTCTCTCTGGCTCTCTCTCTCTTTTTCTCTCTCTCTCTTTTTCCCTCTCGCGCGCTCTTGCTCTCTCTCCCTCCCAGGTATTGCAATCAAAGAGTCGGCCAAGGTTGGATCAAGGACGGTCAAGGGGGTGGACGACCTGGACTTCTTCATCGGAGACGAGGGGATAGACAAGCCCAATTACGCCACAAAGGTACACAACCTGTTGACTTGAAAAGGCTACAGGACCAACCAATACAGTATATCAAAACTCACATAAACCACAAACAAACCTACCCAATGCCAAACATGACAGCAAAACATGACAGCCTGGAAGAGTAATTTTTATGTGACTAATACAATGCACAAACCCACCAATTGGAAGTTGTCATGTGGCCTACACGTTGTGTCATGTGGCCTACACGTTGTGGTGATAACTCGCGTACTGTGCATTTCAAACATTCCCATTCCAAGGCAATACGGAAACCAGTATACTTCACCAGAGAGGCATCTGTCAACAGCCATGTACTAAATATGTAGGCTTACTAAATGTATGTTATTGTATACTGAACAATAAAAATATAACGCAACAATTTCAAAGATTTTACTGAGTTAAAGTTCATGTAAGTTACAGTCAATTGAAATAAATTCATTAGGCCCTAATCTATGGATTTCACATGACTGGGAATACAGATATGCAACTGTTGGTCACAGATACTTTTTTTTTTAAGTAGGGGCGCGAATCAGAAAATCAGTCCGTATCTGGTGTGACTACCATTTGCAACATGCAGCATGACACATCACATTTGCATAGAGTTGATCAGGCTGTTGATTGTGGCCTGTGGAATGTTGTCCCACTCCTATTCAATGGCTGTGCGAAGTTGCTGGATATTGGTGGAAACATGTTTGGTGAGTATGCAGGCCATGGAAGAACTGGGACATTTTCAGCTATCAGGAATTTTGTACAGATCGTTGCGACATGGGGCCATGCATTATCATGCTGAAACATGAGGTGATGGAGGCGGATGAATGGCATGACAATGGGCCTCAGGATCTCGTCACGGTATCTCTGTGCATTCAAATTGCCATAGATAAAATGCACTTGTGTTCGTTGTCCGTAGCTTATGCCTCCCCATAGTATAACCCCACCGCCACCATGGGGCACTCTGTTCACATCAGCAAACCGCATGCCCACACGATGCCAGACACGTGGTCTGCGGTTCTGAGGCCGGTTGGACGTACTGCCAAATTCTCTAAAACAACGTTGGAGGTGGCTTATGGTAGAGAAATGAACATGACATTTCAGGTGGATGGATTATGACCTGTCAGGTGGATGGATTATCTTGGCAAATGAGAAATGCTCACTAAAAGGGATGTAAACAAATTTGTGCACAACATTTGAGAGAAATAAGCTTTTTGTGCGTATGGAACATTTCTGAGATCTTTTATTTCAGCTCATGAAACATGGGACCAACACAACTACATGTTGCTTTTATATTTTTGTTCAGTGTACTTGGTGTGTCACTAGGTCATGTCCTAAATGTAAGTTGGTGTACTTGAAGTGTCATTCAACCATGCACTAAGGTGTATGTTGGTGTACTTAGTGTCACTTAGTCATTTACTAGCCTTTATGTTTGCCAGTGTGACTGACCTTTGACCTCTCGCCCACCAGTGGCCCATCCGTCACGGCATCGTGGAGGACTGGGACCTAATGGAGAGGTTCATGGAGCAGGTCATCTTCAAGTACCTGAGGGCAGAGCCTGAGGACCACTACTTCCTGTTGGTAAGAGGCCCATGGGCCAAATGGGAAATGTATGGAATAGGAAGAAACCATGTCGATGGATAGAGAGCACACTTGGCACAAAGAGGGTAGGCTCTCTTTCCAACTTCATGGGAGAAACAAAAACCAGCTGTACTGTGAAACTCAAGGGCCTGAGTTGTGCACCTCTGGATTAAAAAGTGATGTCATAAATGTCAAGACACTTGAGGAAGTACGACTATATCGGCACTGTGAGCCAAGTGAAATGGAACAGCTAGTGAAGGTAACTGAAACGAAATGGTTAAAACAGTCGGCCAAAATCTTTACATTACATTTTTACATTTTAGTCATTTAACAGACGCTCTTATCCAGAGCAACTTACAGTTAGTGAGTGCATACATATTATTTTTTTCATAATGAGCTTTATCTAATTCTCTGTGAAATGGGTAGCATTAAAGCCAGTGTTTGTGATCCATTAACACAAAGTTGACTTTCTTAAATAGGATGGGATTTTTTTTGTTTTGAAATAGGATATTTTAACTTAACCCTATCTTAACTTTTACCTGTAATTGAGGTGACGGTCATGGAATTTCGGATGACGGTTATTTACCAGCCAAATGACCGTGGTCACCGTAATACCTGTTTCAATTGCACAAACATTGTCTCCTCTGCTCCTGACTATGTGCTGCCATATAAATGGAATGAATAGAACGGGCGTCCTCATTCAAGTCAATGATGGCATAATGGGTGGACTTCTGCATCACCGATGCGCGCGCATAATTTGTGACATTGTCAACCAACCCGTCTATAGGAGCAAAGCAGGAAGTGTACCCATCAATATGTGCTATGATTTGTTGATTCAACTTACATGAGCCACATCAGTTAACATCATTTGAATGAACTTTCTACATTACCATGGAAATTATTGCATCACAATACCAGGCAGCCGTTGTGAGTGTACCCATGAGTTTACCAGTGAAATTGCCAGGGTTTCCAAGCATATCCTATTCATTCTATTTCTGTGTCCTGCTGCCTAGGCAACTGAAGATTTGTTTGCTACAAGACCTTGCTTGTTTCAGCAAGGAGCAACAAAGTTTCATTACGTTGTTAAGAGTCCATGTTACCGCTGAAACGGACTCTACCGCATGAATGCCCGGCCGTCCGGTCTTCAATCAGCTGTTCGTTCCACACACAAAAATAAAATAATGAAATGGTCATAACCATCGGTTATACAGTAATTGTGCCAGCCCTAATTGAGTGTCCACGTGGTTGTTAATAAACCTGATTAGAGTGTGTCTGTGTGTGGGAGTCTTAACTCCCACTACTGTGTTGTCCTCTTGCAGACAGAGCCTCCTCTGAACACACCAGAGAATAGAGAGTACACAGCAGAGATCATGTTTGAGTCCTTCAACGTCCCAGGGCTCTACATCGCAGTGCAGGTAAAGCTTCATCATCTCTGGGAACACAATTTCATCTAGCTCACACACACACAGCCGATATGCTGTTAAACTGTATAAAACACAGACTCCATAACTGCCTCTGCCCGCTGCTGTTTAATGCTGTGGTAAAGGATGTCGTCAATGACATCGCAGAGTTGTTTTACAATGGTGTCACGTTGATGTTGTTTTCTCTATCCCCAAGGCTGTCCTGGCACTGGCGGCCTCCTGGACATCCAGACAGGTAGGGGAGAGGACACTGACGGGGACGGTCATCGACAGTGGAGACGGAGTCACCCACGTTATCCCTGTGGTGAGTGACACATCAGCTGACCTAAGGACAGCCTTCTCACACTTGACAGAAAATACAGATCTATTACACACAGAGTATACAATCTGAACTGATTTGTGTGTTCTATTACAAAGTGTTTTGATACTGTGTGCCATACTGAACACAACCCTGGTCGTAGTGAAAGGCTCCTTTGGCCAGACCTCTAATCGTTCATGTTGAGGTTCAATACTTTTCAGTGGCTTCATTTGCTTGTCTCCTTTCGCATTTTCTGAACTGATCTTAAAAAAGACTGGATTGGTAAAAGCCAGAGAAAAGATTCCTATTGTGGGTATGTTTTCTCTTGTCCATTTATTTTCAATCAGTGCAGATGATGGAGAGGAAAGTATGAAAGTAGGCCACTGTATACTTTTGACACACAGACTTAGGTCAAGGAGGAATTGCCTGGCAAGAACACAAGTTGTGCAATGATCATTTCTCAAATCAAATTTTATATGTTACATGCGCCGAATACAACAGGTGTAGACCTTGCAATGATATGCTTTTTTACAAGCCCTTAACCAACAATGCAGTTTAAAGAAAAATAAGTGTTGAGTAAAAAATAGATAAGTAAAAAAATAGCAATAAAATAACAGTAGTGAGGCTATATACAGGGGGTACCGGTCAATGTTAGTCGAGGTAATTGAGGTAATATGTACATGAACGTAGAGGTAAAGTGACTATGCATACATAATAAAGAGAGATTGGCAGCAGCGTAAAAGAGGGGGTGGGTGGGGGGGAGGGACAATGCAAATAGTCCGGGTAGCCATTTGATTAACTGTTCAGGAGTCTTATGGATTGGGGGTAGAAGCTGTTAAGAAGCCTTTTGGACCTAGACTTGGTGCTCCGGTACCGCTTGCCGTGCGGTAGCAGAGAGAACAGTCTATGGCTATAATTTTTAGGGCCTTCTTCTGACACCGACTGGTATAGAGGTCCTGCATTTTGGTTTTAAACTGCCCTGCATGATGTACAAGCCACTGCTTAACATACAGAAAATCAGCCAAACATTAAACTGAAGGAGAATTCAGGATGTGAGCATGTACACTACCAGTCAAAAGTTTGGACACACCTACTCATTCAAGGGCTTTCTTTATTTTTGCTATTTTCTACATTGTAGAATAATAGTGAAGACATCAAAACTATGAAATAACACACATGGAATCATGCAGTAACCAAAAAAGTGTTAAACAAATCAAAATATATTTTATATTTGAGATTATTCAAAGTAGCCACCCTCTGCCTTGATTACAGCTTTGCACACATTGAGTAGGTGGGTCCAAACTTTTGACTGGTACTGTACATGAAAGAAATATATGCCTATTCAGGGTCATTCAAGTTTGGTAAAAGTATAGTCAGTTATACAGTATATTCCCTGATACCTTTTTCACACTACTGAGCCAAATTGAGCCAAGACAAATTAAGCTGTACTGGGCTGGCCTTGTTACACATCCTCCATATTTGCTGGAAACCATGCTGTAAAGGACAATGTGAAAAGAAAATATCCAAGCAGTAAGGTTTAGTTCGGCACAATAGTGTAAATCAGGCATTAGAGTAATTTAAATATATGCATCTACTTTGACCTATTTATTCTTATATGCTGTGAACATTGTGAACTCTGACTCATCTGTATTTGTGTTGCTATAGGCTGAGGGCTACGTCATCGGCAGCTGTATAAAGCACATTCCCATCGCGGGTCGTGACATCACCTACTTCACCCAGCAGCTTCTGAGGGAGCGGGAGGTGGGCATCCCCCCAGAGCAGTCCCTGGAGACAGCCAAGGCAGTCAAGGTAGGTCGCAGCGAACTACATTTCCCATCATCCACCACTCCACTCCTATTACTAACCACTGTATTGGTTCATAGTATAGTCAAGGAGCCAATCCTAGACCAAATTCTCATCCCTAACTGAATCCCTGGTTCTCTGAGGCAAGTTTTTCCAGAATGTTGAATTCAAATTGAAATGATCCTGTGTTGTCTTAGGGCATTTTCACACAGGAATTACGTACCCTGTTGCAGTTCCCTAGGCCAACAAAATACTATATGTTTCGCTTTCACAAGAACAGTTTCGGGGTGCGATTTACAACACATTCTACATGGCATTAGCATACTAGCTTGGCTTGATTACAACAAGTAGAAAGTTCCATGTAAGTCACACTTCTGCATCACAATACCTGTCACTCTGGTCCTGGACCGACCACTCTGGCAGAAGTCTCACTGTTTTGTCTTTCTCCATCAATTAGTCTACTACTCCCATTATTGGTTTTCAAATCATGTAGAGGGCTTGGGCTGATGCAAAATAGCAACCAAAGCCCATGTAAGTCAGTTTATAACATTCCATCATTGGTTACTCAGGGCCTATGATGCCAACTTTGGAAAAGTAATTCCAATTTCTACTCTTTCCTCTATTACTAATAGGGATATACCTAATGGGGCAGTTCCATGCAATTTTTTAGCCATACTAGGGCTGGGCGATATGGCAAAAATATAATATCACGGTATTTAAAAAATAATAATTGGATGGTATTTGACGGTATCTTATGTTTTTGAATAATAAAAGTTCAACATTTGCTTTATGAGTAGTGTGTGAACCTAGGGTGGCAACGCATACATTCTAAATGATTTCAATGGGTCTTTCTCCATTCTGATTGTTCAATTCAACTTCAACCCAAAATAATTTAAAGCACTTTCTGCATTTCAGCACTCATTTGAGATCATTTCTACACTGCCACGTAGGGCTGCAGGATATGGGCAAACAATCTAGGCCTTATTTTTAACCAAATGTTGCAATTGCAATTTGACTTGCAATTGAGAGCAAAACACTTGTGTGAACTGTTTCAATCATGGAAATAAAATGATTATTCTAATTCTATAGTTATTATATACAGTGGGGAGAACAAGTATTTGATACACTGCCGATTTTGCAGGTTTTCCTACTTACAAAGCATGTAGAGGTCTGTAATTTTTATCATAGGTACACTTCAACTGTGAGAAACGGAAAATCCAGAAAATCACATTGTATGATTTTTAAGTAATTAATTTGCATTTTATTGCATGACGTAAGTATTTGATACATCAGAAAAGCAGAACTTAATATTTGGTACAGAAACCTTTGTTTGCATTTACAGAGATCATACGTTTCCTGTAGGTCTTGACCAGGTTTGCACACACTGCAGCAGGGATTTTGTCCCACTCCTCCATACAGACCTTCTCCAGATCCTTCAAGTTTCGGGGCTGTCGCTGGGCAATACGGACTTTCAGCTCCCTCCAAAGATTTTCTATTGGGTTCAGGTCTGGAGACTGGCTAGGCCACTCCAGGACCTTGAGATGCTTCTTACGGAGCCACTCCTTAGTTGCCCTGGCTGTGTGTTTTGGGTCGTTGTCATGCTGGAAGACCCAGCCACGACCCATCTTCAATGCTCTTACTGAGGGAAGGAGGTTGTTGGGCAAGATCTCGCGAAACATGGCCCCATCCATCCTCCCCTCAATACGGTGCAGTCGTCCTGTCCCCTTTGCAGAAAAGCATCCCCAAAGAATGATGTTTCCACCTCCATGCTTCACGGTTGGGATGGTGTTCTTGGGGTTGTACTCATCCTTCTTCTTCCTCCAAACACGGCGAGTGGAGTTTAGACCAAAAAGCTCTATTTTTGTCTCATCAGACCACGTGACCTTCTCCCATTCCTCCTCTGGATCATCCAGATGGTCATTGGCAAACTTCAGACGGGCCTGGACATGCGCTGGCTTGAGCAGGGGGACCTTGCGTGCGCTGCAGGATTTTTAATCCATGACGGCGTAGTGTGTTACTAATGGTTTTCTTTGAGACTGTGGTCCCAGCTCTCTTCAGGTCATTGACCAGGTCCTGCCGTGTAGTTCTGGGCTGATCCCTCACCTTCCTCATGATAATTGATGCCCCACGAGGTGAGATCTTGCATGGAGCCCCAGACCGAGTGTGATTGACCGTCATCTTGAACTTCTTCCATTTTCTAATAATTGCTCCAACAGTTGTTGCCTTCTCACCAAGCTGCTTGTCTATTGTCCTATGCCATACCAACTATGTCAATATCAACTATCAGACAGGGCCTGCAACCGCCTATTGAAGGTAGCTTGTTTGAGTTGGAGACTCTGTGTGACTTTAAAAATCGTAAAGGACTTGGGTTGATGCATCTGAACATTAGGAGCTTACTTCCTAAACTGGATTACATCAAGTTCTGGGCTATGCAGACGAATCTGGACATTCTGGTATTGACTGAAACTTGAATCTCTGGGGACATTCTGGAACCTGATATTAATATTGAGGGTTATAATGTGTTCAGAGCTGATAAACAGGGTGGAGGTGGTGGTGTGGCCATTCTTATTAAAAATAAATTATCTGTTCCTTTTTTAAAATCCATTTTCCTTGCCAAAAAATTTGAACTACCATCTTTAAGCCTTTGTTTGGGGAAAAATGTATCCATAACTGTCATAGGGTTCTACCGTCCTCTCTCGGCTAACCTTTGTGCACTCGAGGAGTTAACTAGTTTGTCTTATTTTACTAAATCAGAAGTTATTATCCTGGGTGACTTAAATTATTATTGGGACATGTGTAAAAGACATGTGTAATGATGAAAACCTAACCCAGCTGGTGACTAAGCTTACATGGCCCAACCCTAAATATTCTTCAAAGTCAACTCTGATTGATCTTATTTTAACGAATACACCAGAGAAATATGTTTCTACAGGTGTCTTCACCCAAGATATTAGTGACCATTGCCCCATTGTTTGTGTTTGAGATGTGTGAATACAAAAATGTAAGCCTCGTGTCATCACAAAGAGAAACTTAAAAAACTTCAGTTAACAGGCTTTTTACATGGTCTTTATTTTAGAGCCCTTGATTGTATTTTAGCTATCCCTGAACCTGATTTAGCTTTCAACCTTTTTGCATATGTCTTTAGTACTGTTGTGGATAATCATGCTCCCTTCAAAGAATTAAGGATTAAAGATGAATTGAATGCCTGGTACACTCCGGAATTATCAGAAGTCATTCATAAAAGAGATGATGGTTGGGTCAAGGCCAGGAACACAGGCTTAGGCCCCAACTGGCAAGCTTTTAAGCAACTGAGGAATCATTGTTTAAGACAAATTACTAAGGCTAAAACCTATTTCGGTTTGTAATGGGAACACGGCAAAATTCTGGAAAACGGTCCCTGAAGGGTTCTACTTCCTCCTCTCTGCCACAACAAATTAATTCAGACACAGGCCTCATTACAACAACAAAAAAGCCATAATTGATGCATTTAATCACCATTTATTTATTTATGATATTGGGCTGTATGCTGATAGGAGGGATTTCCTGAATGATCAGAGAAATGATAGTCAAAGCTTTTCTTTTAGGCTATTTACAGAAAAATAAGTCCTGGATGCTTTGCTAGCAATAGACAACAAGAAATCCACAGGGGCCGACCAATTGGATCCCGGTCTGCTTACGTGTGCAGCTCCCATAATGTTTCTCTCAATAACCCAAATGTTTTATTTAACATTGTTTTATTTAACATATTCTAAAAGTATGGAAATCAGCTGTTGTGCTGCCACTTCATAAGGGCGGGGATAGTAGTGATCTTAATAATTATAGCCCCATTTCAAGTCTTCCTTGTCTAGCTAAGATTCGTGAATCCTTGGTAAATGTACAACTTTGCTATTTTTTCTGAGAAATATATTTTGAATGTAAACCAATCAGGCCTGGGTATAGCACTATTACAGCAACCACTTTAGTTGTTAATGATCTTGGCAATGCCTTAGACACTACAATTAAATGTGGTGCTTTATTTGTGGACCTGTCAAAAGCTTTTGATACTGTTGATCATGCTATTTTATTGAATAAGTTGTCCTCGATAGGCCTGAGCTCTGACGCCTGTTCATGGTTTCATGATTACCTTAGTGACAGAACTCAGGCCATTGTGATTGATGGGGTTAAGTCCGAATTTCTTGAAGTACATAAAGGTGTTCCGCAGGGGTCGATACTAGGACCTGTTCTTTTCACTATTTATAATCAATCTGTTAAAAATGATAGATTTAGTCTATATGCAGATGATCCTATTATGTACACAATTGCCCCGACTGTTGACCTGACTGTGACAAGGCTACAGTCTGATTTTGCAGTTGTGCAGGAACCCCTTACTGATTTTAAAAATCGTACTTAATAGAGTACCACAGTACGAGTCATAATACCCATAAAACCTAGCAGTCAAACTAGGAAATGGTTCCAATCTTTTTCCACCATTCATTTTATTGAGAAAAGTCACCTTGTCCGAGAGATTTACATGGTCATCAAAACTTCACGCCAGGGTAAGTCTGCACGAAACACAGCCCTTATTTTAAGTGTTTCTAAAATTCCCTATGGGAAAAATGAATGGTGGAAAAACTATTGGAACCACTTCCTTGTTTGATTATGGGTATTATGACACCTCCACTGTGGGGCTCTATACGGGCGAAATGAAATACATGTTGTTTTCAAGTTCTCGTAAGATTGTCTCAGATAGATTACATCATTACTCCTCGGATGGTGCTATAATCGAACGAGTCCATACCTACAAATACCTTGGCATTTGGATTGACAATGATTTATCGTTTATAAAATGTACAACTGAGCTTGTATGATCTCGTCTCTCTCCAGTCAGCAGGAAGCAGATTGTGCAGTCAACCTTTCTACCTGTTGTTGATTATGGTGATACTATTTATCAAAGTGCAGCTACCTCTACTCTTGGAGGAATTGGTGCCTCTAGGTCATTTCACACAGTTGTTAGGTGACCTTTCTACTGAAGAATGTGTCTTTTTTATGATTGTGTTTTGCTTTTTGTGTATTGTTGTGTATAATAACTTGTATTTTATTGTTTATATGAATGTGTAGTTTAATGTGTTTTTTTGTATTTTTATGTGTATTGTGGTGCTATACAGGGCTGATCTGGAAAAGAGACCTTGGTCTCAGCATTGACTCCCTGTCAAAATAAAGGTTAAATAAATTGTCCAGCACTTTTTATTCAGTGACTGAATGAAGGTATGCACCCCAATAGCAATCCTCTATCAGCCACCAGCCACTACTCACACAGTTAAGATTTGGTCACTGTTTGCTGTGAAAGTTGGGAAGTTGACTGAGTATATGAACAGTGCTAGCACACCTCAGAATGTTTGATGAAATGTAAATTAAGAAATTACTAAACCAAGATGTCTAAAAGAGGATGTGAAATTCTCACCTTGTCTGTAGTGTGTTGACTTGAACACTAGGTGGCACCCTTATTCCACCGGAAATTTTCATACCTCCTTAACGCAAAGAACAACATCACTTGATATTCAAACTGGTCTTTTGTGAAGACGTTTGAAACGTGGGATACATAGACGCGGTTCTGATTTTGATTGTTTGTTCCATTTACAATTCAAGATGGACAGCTTGACTCCCCTGGTGTTTCCTAGGGTGTGTTGTTTACATTAAACCCATGCTTGTAATTGCTGCTCATTTTCACCAGACTCCATTGTGATTCACCTTGCTTCCCTTCTTGATCCAAAGCAGTAAATGTTTATTGGAAGACTCATCTAAAATCCTTGTTGGCCCTAGAGTTGAAGATAATTGTTTTTCACCCAGAGACAAACACTTATCAGGCTTTTCACCCAACTGAGACTTGAAAACTGACCGCAATTGGTAGCTTGATTTGTATTCAATGGTCTTGCTCTTAGAAAAGAGCTATCCAATCATTTGCATTCATATCTACCAGAATATGTGTTATGGAGAATTAAGTGGAGTCCTGGGTTTTTGGACAAAATTATTTAGAACGTAATTAGGGCCAGAATCATGTGAGTCTAAACAGGGCTGAAATCATGCAGGTCCTTAATCAACAACAGCTAACCTCCCCTGTTATTGTAATGGTGAGAGGTTAGCATGTCTTGGGGGTATGATATTTGTACGTCTAACTTTCTCACCGATCATTATTCACGATTCATTCAGGACTATCCGTAATCATGGTAGCATCCACATAAATATAAAAGTGTTTAGAAACATTCTATTCTTTTTTTACAATAAAAGTGACTCCAGAATGACACAATACATTATTTACCATTCATTTCTGAGAAACAACCAAAACAAATGGCAAATGCATCCAAGTTTGTCGAGTCACAAGCTTGATGTAATCATTGTGTACTAGGAATATGGGACCAAATAATACACTTTTGACTACTTTTAATGCATATATAAGTGAATTTGTCCCCATACTTATGGTCCCCTAAAATGGGGGGACAGTGTACAAAAAGTGCTGGAATTTCTAAACGGTTCACCCTATATGGATGAAAATACCCTCAAATTAAAGTTGTATCATTTCAAATCCAATGTAACCAGTTACACTGTAGTTAAGCATCCACTCACGCTTTGTCTTCCATGTCTTTTTACACCAGGAGCGCTTCAGCTACGTGTGTCCGGACCTAGTGAAAGAATTCAGCAAGTACGACACGGATGGCTCCAAGTGGATCAAGCAGTACACCGGCATTAACAACATCAGCAAGAAGGAGTTCACCGTCGACGTGGGCTACGAGCGCTTCCTCGGCCCTGAGATCTTCTTCCACCCGGAGGTTAGCAGTTAGCACTTGACTAATTAAACGGCTGCATATCAAGAGGTTAGCGCTATGCTAATTACCTAGCATACCATGAATGGGAAATGTTCTCTTCAGTGTCATCCTACATTAGCATAATGTTAGCAGAACTCTGACCCCCAGGTCTATAGGTTAGAGTAGCTCAAATTGAGTGGTTAGGACCATCATAAGTAGGGTACTACTACACTGAAGCACATATTACTTCAGTGTGGTCCTCTGTAGCTCAGCTGGTAGAGCACGGCGCTTGTAACGCCAAGGTAGTGGGTTCGATCCCCGGGACCACCCATACACACAAAAAAAAATGTATGCACGCATGACTGTAAGTCGCTTTGGATAAAAGCGTCTGCTAAATGGCATATTATTATTATTATTATTATTATTATTATTATTACCTATTAGCACAAACTACAGGCAGAAGAGGAGTTGTGCGGTTAAGGGCTGCATAGGCTGGAGTGAATGATGGAGAAAGACATCTTTAAAATGGTTAAGATGTTATTTTAGAGTTGTGCTATGCAGAAATCGCTCCGCCAATTCCTGGTTGCTAAAACTCTAATAGCCTAATTTCAGTTTGACAAAATAAGCTAGTTTAGTGTAGAGAATCATTGTACCATCTAAACCACTGTGAAATATATTTTCCATAACCAAAAATATTGTTTCAGCTGTTTGAATCTTGTGTGCAAAACCAAAAGTAAAAGATGCAAAAACAAAACTTAAGAACTGGAAGCATAGAAATAGCGCACATAGAACAGATCTACTGCTTCTTAGACTTACTTTCAAGTAGAATGATAGATCTATAACTCACATTGCTATGTGAATTTGGTCGGGTCGGCCAAAATGTTCCATATTGCCACTTTAAGATATTTATCTGTGAAAGTGGGTGTGTATGCACTTATAAACTCTTTCTCTCACCCTCTTCTTCTCCCTTCACTCTTCCTCAAAATCCACTAGTTTGCCAATCCTGACTTCACCCAGCCCATCTCCGAAGTTGTGGACGAGGTTATCCAGAACTGCCCCATTGATGTCAGACGTCCTCTTTACAAGGTAATCATATCCCTGAACTACATAGATATTGGTTTAAAAACCACATCCCATTAATCAGCACTTTGGGTTTGCCCTTTCAATATTGTGTGTGTGTGTGTGCTCGAGTTGAACCCTGTTTTGTGTGTTAGGGCATGTGTTAACCAGTGTCTTAACTAGCCACACTGTGTTCTTCTCCAGAACATTGTCTTGTCGGGCGGCTCCACCATGTTCAGGGACTTTGGCCGGCGCCTGCAGAGGGACCTGAAGAGGACGGTGGACGCCAGGCTGAAGATGAGCGAGGAGCTGAGCGGGGGCAAGCTCAAGGTGAGAGCAGTCCCTAGTCATGGTGACCTTACTAGAGTTGTCTCTTTATCCTAATAATTGTGGTCCCCACGAGCTGCTCCTGTTCTAATTCGTTTTTTACTCTTAGAGTTTGTAACCGGCTACACTTTTGGTAAGAAATGTAAGATCTTTATTTGTGGTGTTTGCTTTTGCCTTCTCAGCCCAAACCAATCGATGTGCAAGTCATCACTCATCATATGCAGAGATATGCAGTGTGGTTTGGAGGATCCATGTTAGCCTCAACTGTAAGTATCACAAATCTGTTGCGCCATTCTGTGGGGAAAAGCTGTACTAAAACTACAAATGTGGAAATGAGTATTAGTTGTTCTATGGCACACATTTCCTATGATAAGGAATCCTTTAACTTGGACATAGTAAAGCAACTTAATGATTTGAAATGTCATTCAGAAAATGTTATAATTTTATATGCCATCTGCAAAACTTGCCTCCCTAAAAATGTAGTAGTGCTGAAAGGTTACTGTCAGCACCGTAGCTGAATTTCAGTGATTTGCATTGTCAGCATGATTACTGCCATTTAGTGCTTACTTAAGGGCATACTATCTTCCAGATTCCCTGTAACTCAATTGAAATGAAAAAGTAATTCAAAATAATTCCTTATTTTCTTTGAATGTAAAAGGGAAACGCCCATAACGCACTCGGGAGCATCCATTGATAATGTTCATTGTGAGTTTCGGGAGGTTACAACATTGTATTTACTCATGATGAGTCAACTGATTGGCACCTTTTTAGAACAGGAACTCTGGGACTGTAGGATGTGCCCGTGAGGCAGTGTGTCTAGTTCCAGGTGCTGGTTTTGATAGGAACATCTAGTATTAAAAAACGAGTCAAAACCGCACACGAAGGTTGTTTATGTTTTTAGCTTTTTTTGTCTTTTATTCAAATATGTCAAATGTCAACACATTGCTTTCTCTTTTCTAGCCTGAATTCTACCAGGTATGCCACACCAAAAAGGACTATGAGGAGATTGGCCCCAGCATCTGTCGCCACAACCCCGTGTTCGGAGTTATGTCTTAACTGTGGCCCTCCAACATCTAATGGTTAGACCGGGTGGGGTCGGTAGGGTTGGGTGGGTAGGGGATGGGAAGGGAGGGGAGACAGCGGGTCAGGGGTGGCGAGTTTGTGCTTTTTGATTGCTTGTTCACTCTGGATGTACAGAACGAGAGGCGGTACAGATTTTTTTTTTTTATGAGAAGAACAGAAACAGTCCGGCTGGAAAAAATGTATTGTGAATGTTCCTTTTTTTGTTTTGTTTTTGTTTTCCAAAATGAGGGAAATGTGGTTTCTAAACCAAAACAATAAAAGATAATTTCCGGATCTGTCAAGCAACATGCAGAAAGCTCAACGAGGATGATAATGATGGTGGTGGTGGATGTAATGATGATGACAACAACATTGATAATAATAAAACCAGAAGTCATAAAACATTATTTATGTTTATAGAACTTGAGTCCAGGCAATATCTGACGACTTGAGATGTTGTTGAGCATGCCAAGGTTATAGAACATATTAATGTCTTCTTTATCTTTCATTTTATGTTTTTGCTTCAAATGCACTTCACTTTGTTTATCACAACAACAGCTTGTTTATATTTCATAAAGGTTTTTTATATGCAAAACTTGGGAAATCGGGGATTGTTTTTATTGCATACCAGTATCAGCAAGTGACTGTTTTAACCCACAAAGCAGCTTTGATACACAGTATTTTCTTAAGTTAGAAAACCCTCGTCATTCCCCCATTGTCTGTCCTTGCTATTCTCCCTTTAATTCTACATTAACATGCCTTCGCTTTCACTTTCGACCATGACAGATTTCCTCTTCTATATCGTAGCGAAAAAGAACATAAAACTATTCATGAAATTATAACTATCAAATTGAAAGAGAATGACTGTCGGACCAGTATTTGTTAGCCAAGCTTTGTTTTAAAATTAAAAACCAAATTATGAAAAAAAAAAATGTTTATTTAATGCCTCGCAACATTCCAATAAAGGCTCAGATTTGTTTCTTAAGTGCTTGACTGGGCTATCGTTTTTTTTTATGATTCACATTTTTATTGAGATTTCAAACACAGAAATTAACAGCAACAAACAGAACAGTCAACACCCCACAATGTCATAAAGCGCTCCAGCCCATGATGAACAAAAACCAAAAAGACTATGGAATATGACTGGGTTCTTGTTTGCCTTGTCTCAAATTTTGTCACTGGTTCATGTGCAATTGTATATTTTCTCAAATACATCTTGAATAACATCTAGCATATATCTCAAGATGATATTTTTATATAGTTGATGGCAATCAATGCTTTATTTAGTATGGGATGAGACTGACATGCAAAACAAAGTCTTCCCACCTTTGTAGTTTTACCCATAAGTCAATCTTTTCATTGGAGCCATTGAGTTGTAATTTGTCAGGGATCCTTGAGAAATGTAACATTAGCATGTATTGCCCCGTCCCATTCTGTCTTGCGGTCTGAGATCTAAGCACTGCCACACTATGTGTGACATGTTGCTGAGTACAAAGCACTTTGGCTTTGTCACTGTCATGCAGTCTCACATGTCGAGTCCAAAATGATCTAGGGAAATGCGCTGCCACACCCTGGCACACCGGAAACCTTTTAGAACATGCGTACAGAGACCGCAAGACAGGAGAATGGGATGAGGCATATGTCTCCATAGGGAAGTAATACCCCATCAGGAAGTGATGTCAAACAGACAACAGGTGGTGATGCCAGCATTAGGCCGTGGCCACATTGGGATTTCGTGTCGAAAAATTTCAGGTGGAGCCCATGTTTTTTCAATGGGAGTCATCCGTTACCGGACAACAGAGATTATTGTCCAAAGACGAATAAACCCCACAAGCGATCTGTCTTTTCGTGCAAATTTGTAAGAAAAAAAGTAGAGATGAGTTGTACTTTTGAATATACGATATAATCTGTGTTCATGCATCTCAGTGTGGCTGTGGCCTTAGGCCAGAGACACACTGAGATGCATGAAGACATCTTATATGAGGTATATCATTGTCTATTTTGTTTTGTCAAAAGTATTTTCGGACGTATTAGTACGAATTGCATCAGCTAAAAAAGGGACCGTTTGTGGTATCTTTTGTCGAACAATCATCTCCGTTGTTATCCATTCTTACTGACTGCTTGAGGAAAACATTTTCCTACCTGTGGGCTATTTCTGTCCTTCAAGAGAATCAAAGCCACCAGAAACTATCAGTGTCTGTGTGTACATGGTCACATAGCCCTTTGGCGAAAGACAATATGGAACCAGACCACTTACACGCAAGTGGACTGGAGGCTGGAGGGGATTGGAGACTGCAGGGGCCTTTTAGTGATGTCCACTCGAAGCAAATACCAGTGCCTAATTAGTAACTTAGGCAAGGTAGTTGGTCTTGATCTCAACTTACTTTGCTTGTCTAATGTAAGATACCTTCAACACAGGCAAATTAGACCACAATTAAAAATATAAATTCACTATCAGCTCTCATGCATTTGTCCTGAAAACCAAATCAGAGCTAACTTGAGCATGAGCCTGTTCTTCTCCAATGAAAATGGTTCGGAAAGGAAATCATTGCTGTTCAAGAGACCCATAACTGGTTGTAGTAACGACGAAGAAGAGGATGGCGGGGAGGTAGCACTTTACATAAACCTACTTATTCTTAGCTGTAATATAAAGCGCTACCAGAATTTCCTTAACAATCTCGCTCCAAGTCTTGCTCACCAACCATACACACCTGGAAGCCTGGCATGGGAGGCTGAAACTACCACAAAGGGCAGGGTTTCAGGATATTTCTGGGTTTTAGCTTTAGTGTAACGGCCCCAATAACACCTGTGAATGGCTCGTAAGTGCTTCAGTTTTGCTCATCGGCCAATGAATTGAGAAAAAAAACCTGAGCATTCGGATTCCCCCAACACTGTAGCAGGACAAATAGAGAGTGTGCTGAGAAATGATAGCCTCATTTATATGGGGAAGAGGTTTCTTCTTTGAGCACAGGTAATAGGTTCCTGCTAGAAAAAAGGAACCTACCCAAAACAAACAATAAATACAGCACTAGAAGATGCCGATGGAGATCACCATTCAAACAGCCTTATTCCACAAACAGAAAATCAATTTCGGTGACCGGCACTTAAATAGGCAATTTTCATATGGTATTGTTTGTGGAAGCTGGGACAAAGCAAGGCTCTGACGTATACATTAACTGTGACAGAATGATCAGATGAGTTTGGTTGACAACGGAGAAATTGTGTGTGGGGTAAGAAATTAGAAAGTAACGTTATTTTGGTGCTGGTTTGTAGTATAATGGGACTTGAAGAGATTTCATATGAAACAACTTTATGTACGTGATTGATTGTCTTCACTGTATCCCTAAAAGTAATTACAAACCAACTCTTATTTCAAGCAGGACATACAAAACATTCCCATTGTTGATAACTGCAGGTCCAGTTTAGGTTCGGCATCAACAACTCTGGCCCTAGACCGATCCCCTAACAAAACACCAATAATTGCACCCATTTCATTCCACTGCATATTTTTGAGCGTAGTGTCTGGTTTTGTGATGCACAAATATGGGTTCAACCAAAGTTACACGCACAAATTAACCACATTTTACAATAATGTGAAAATAGCTTTTGAACGACAGTATGTATCTAAAATACATTATCACTCTGGGTCTAAAATACATGGTGTTCTCTCTTCAGACAGAAAGTGTCTCATTCCACCTAGGTAAAATAGTTTTTTTATTATCACAGTGAAAAACCCAAACGTGAGTTCTATAAGCCTGTAAGCACTATTAGTAGGTCTTCCGTTTGCCCTGACACATTTGCCTGAATACGCACACTGAGTGAGGACAGGAAATGAGTTGCCTCGCAGGTCTTGAGTTCACACAACATCTTCTGTGTGTGACAGAGTGGGGAGCAGGTTCAGAGACAGAGCCCTGGAGCCCAAAGCAAAGCCCATGTCCGATATAATGGGCAATCAGCGTCCAGGAAAGGATTCTGGGTAGGTTAAATATCAATGTGTCACAAGGATTGGACACAGCATTTCCTTTGGGGGGGACTTGAATAGCCTCCTCTCCCACTCCGCGTCACACATCCAATGTCCGATGTCATTTGATGGCTAATGACATATAGACCCGGGTGATTGCAGGTCCTTGTGCGTTCATAACTGAAAACCAGGAGAGCAATACAGGATCCATCTACTGTGATGGGCCGGAAATCAGATGCCTCCTCACTTGAACGATTGTCAATCATATGGAGAGGGTTGAAAGGCTTCCTGGAAGATGACCACAGTAATAACAAACATCAAGGTGGAAATGATTCACCGTCTCCGTTTTGGTGGACCCACTGTTCCATCCAGACTCACTTAAGTAGTCACCTGTCTGAACCTGATGGAGTGTGTGTGTATGTATGTATGTATGTATGTATGTGTGTGTGTGTGTGTGTGTGTGTGTGTGTGTGTGTGTGTGTGTGTGTGTGTGTGTGTGTGTGTGTGTGTGTGTGTGTGTGTGTGTGTGTGTGTGTGTGTGTGTGTGTGTGTGTGTGTGTGTGTGTGTGTGTGTGTGTGTGTGTGTGTGTGTGTGTGTGTGTGTGTGTGTGTGTGTGTGTGTGTGTGTGTGTGTGTGTGTGTGTGTGTGTGTGTGTGTGTGTGTGTGTGTGTGTGTGTGTGTGTGTGTGTGTGTGTGTGTGTGTGTGTGTGTGTGTGTGCGTGCGTCTGTGTGTTGTCCCCTGTAGCTCAGTTGGTAGAGCATGGCGCTTGCAACGCCAGGGTTGTGGGTTCGTTTCCCATGGGGGGCCAGTATGAAAATGTATGCACTCACTAACTGTAAGTCGCTCTGGATAAGAGTGTCTGCTAAATGACTAAAAATGTCAAATGTAAAAAAAATTGTCCATTCACCAGACAGCTACACATTTGGAGTCCATACCCTCCCTTGCCTGATTTCACCAAAGGGAGTTTTCATCTCTAATTTAAATGCAGGAAAAAAGTCAAACGCAGTAAAGGAGAGAGAGTTATTTTTCAGCACCTTAGTGCTAATTGAACTCTTTTCCAATTTCCCCTTAGCC